ACCTTGTTATGGTTGATTTCTCGCGATGTAAACGCTTGACAGTACAGGAAGACTAAGGCATGAATTCGCCTCCCGGTAGACCTTATATATAGGCAAGGTGAATCATGAATCAAAGCAAAAATAAATGAAATATTTTTCAAAACATCGGAACTGTTTAGTCGTAAGTCACTCGAATGAAAAGAATCTCTTTCGAAAAAGAATCTGAGTCGATTTACGCATGTCCCTCTGTCCATGTATTATTGTAAACCAAATGCAGGTCGCATTTATGATCTGAATGAGATGAAATTTGGCACAGCTCATTTATTTGGTCCAAGGACGAACCCTATTGGAATTGGTGGAAATAGGTTCAGATTTAAATATAGCTCCCCTATATATTTTCGTCCGATTTCCCTAAATGGTGCACTAAAGGCCCAATCTTTGTCCGGTTACGAATTTTTGCACAACATACCAAATTGAGCCTATAATGACGTGTGTTTAGTTTTGTTGAAATCGGTTTAGATTTTGATATAGCTCCCATATATATTTTCGGCCAATTTCTCCTAAATGGTGCACTAATTAACGCAAATTTTTCCCGATTGCGACGAAATTTTGCACAACGTATCAAATTCAGCATATAATGACATGTGTTAAGTTTTGTTGAAATCGTTTCCAATTTTGATATACCTCCCATATATATCTTCGGTCGATTTCTCCTAAATGGTGCACTAAGGCCCAATGTTTGTCGGATTAAGTCGAAATTGTTCACAACGTATAAAATTGAGCCTATAATGAATCGAACTAGCTTTGGAAGTTGGGTTTACCATTTATATCAAATCGGACAAAAATGTATATGAGCTTTACCAAATTTAATCTCAATCGAATCATAAATTAGACCTGTACTTTTTTTACAATTTAACAAGGACGGACAGAAGACAAACGTATTCTATGTATATTCTTAAAAGTAACTAAACATTATCTTGTTAACTTTTGCTTGTTACAAACATATGCAAAAAGACATAATACCTCTTACCACAAAAAGTGGACCAATATCTATAATTTTGTAGGAGGATTTGCCCAACACCTGTATTATACAACTCTTACATACATTTTAGACTGATTTCATCTAAATGGTGTACCAGATACCTAGTTTTTTTGTGATTGAAACGAAAATGTACACAGCTACACAATTGAACCACATGTTTTAAATTTGTTCTAATATAAATGGTCATATACATACCAAACCATTTAATATAGCTTTGTTGAAATCGGTTGAAATCAGTTCCGATTTAAATAAATTTTAATCGAACAAGCTTTGGATGTTGGTTGGGTTTACCATTTATACCATATCGTTCGAAAATGTATATGAGTGGTATATCTGAACTGATTTTCTCCAATTTCAACGAACGAACCCTAGTTCTTGGGTCAAATAAATGAGCTTTACCAAATTGCATATCAATCGGATCATAATTTTGCCCTGTACTTTGCACGAAATTTGGCACAATGTACTGAATTAAGCCTAGAATGAGGTGTACAAATTTTCGTGTTAATAGGACAAAAATATACGTGGGGGCTATATCTAAATCTGAACCGATTTTTTTAGCACACTAGCACACATCATTCTAGACTCAATTCCTTAGCACACATCTAGACTCAATTCAGTACGGATGAAAATATATATGGGGGCTATATCTAAATCTGAACCGATTTTCACGAAACATAGCACACATCATTCTAGGCTGAATTCAGTACGATGTGCCAAATTTCGTGCAAATCGAAAGATATTTAGGAACTTTGGTGCACCATTTACCTTAAATCGGACGAATATATATATATATATATATATAGGAGCTATATTTAAATCTGAACCTATTTTCACGAAATTTCGCACACCTCATAGGTTTAATTAAGTACGTTGTGCCATATATGGGAGCTATTTCTAAATCTGAACCGATTTTTCCCAATTTCAATAGGGTTCGTCCTTGGGCCAAATGACTGAGCTGTGCCAAATTTCATACAATTCGAATAATAAATGCGACCTGTACTTTGTTTACAATTTAACATGGACAGACAGACGGACGGACATGCATAAATCGACTTAGAAGTGATTCTATGCATATTCTCAAAAGGAACCATGTGTCTATCTCGTTTCCTTTTGCCTGTTACAAACATATGCACAAAGACAATACCCTGTACCACAGTGTGGTGAAGGGTATAAAAATAATCAATCATTCCATCTACGAAGCCAATTTTTACAAAAATTACAATATTTGCAATTTCTACTATCCTTCTTCAAATAAAATTCACCTCAATCACAATTCTTTACACAAACAGTAAAAAATCTCTATTATTTATTTTCCACTAAAGTACATGTAATAAGAAAGGTATAAAACTTAAATACTACGATTACAAAGAAATCCTTTTGAAAAGCTTAATTATACTACGCCTTTTTCATTTTCTTATTAGCGTTGGCCAACTTGGCTTTAAGCGACTTAACTTCAAACTTATTATCATGCCCATCGGCGGAACGTTTCTTTGCCGCTGACGACGGCGAATAATCTGTAGGCGGGATGAAATCTTTTTGATGTTTCTCTTCTCGTTTCTTCGCAGCCTCAGATTGTTTGGCATTACGCTCCTCCTCTTGCTTGCGTTGTTGTTTCTGTTCTTTGCTAAGGAAATATTCAGCCGAAGCCGAAGAATTGTTTATCGATTTTGCTTTCGGGTTGTGCCGGTGGGAATGGTGTGTATTCCTTCTTTTGTTTCTTAACCTTGGTTTGTTTACGTTTGCTGATATTCTTGTTCTAGAATTTGGGCAGGAAACGCGACCAATCCTCATTGGCCAATTTTGGATATTTTATAAGTTCCCGTTTGATCATGATTGCCTTAGTGTTGTAAATGGGATGCACATTGTTCATGGTATCGATGACAATATCACGAACCTGTTGTAGACCCTTATAGGGACCCAATGTCGAGACCGTGTTACCTTGAACCAAAACATAACAATCAGTTAAAAGTTCAATGGATTTCGAAGTGGCACCACTGGGACCAATTAAACGTTGATGTCTTTTGAAGAATTTTTCTTTCTACCAATCTCGTCCTGTAGCACACGTTTGGCCTGTTCAAGGGGTACACTATGAGCCATTAGCTTAATCATATCACGTGCCTTGATGACAATGTAGGGATCCCAGGTTTTACGTGTTGTCTTCACCACCATACTGCCTTCAATTAAATCCAGTTCAGCTTTCAGATAATATTCAGCAACAGCTTGTTGTACCAATGGCCAGACTTGTTTCAAATACCGCTCACGATATTTCGGGAATAGTGTGGCAAATTAACTCTCCTCCACCAGTCCATTTGGATTATCCACTGGCTTGAAGGCTGGTATTTTCATGGCCCAAGCATTTTCGAAGGGTTCATTTGTTTGCTTAAGCTCCTTTGATTCACTGCCACACCCTAATCGTCACTTCACTTTAAGTACCTTCGTTATTGTCAAGTTTTTCTTCTTCCTCCTTTGTAGCAGTTGGAACGTTTTTAATTTTGATTTGCCATTTGCAAACATCAAAGACATAGAAACGTAAAGACTTGACAAAATGCATTTTGGAAAAATAGTTTATCGAAACATATGTAGGGGGCACCTTTTCCCTCTTATTCGCGTTTTTATTATTTACATGCCTCTGTTATGCCAGAAGCCCCCTACATATGTTTCGATAAACTATTTTTCCAAAATGCATTTTGTCAAGTCTTTACGTTTCTATGTCTTTGATGTTTGCAAATGGCAAATCAAAATTAAAAACGTTTGAAGATTTTTGGTAAGTCTTTGAAGCGAGAATTATAAATGTTCATCTACTTTATAAGATAGCCCGAATTGACTTTCAATCGAATTGATTGTAATTCGGTATTTTGAATTTAGATAGGGTTGCAAATCTTCCCACAAAAAATATCATATAAAAATTTACGACAGCCCCAATATAGCGGTACCGGTATTTTGAGGATTATGGCCCCGTTTTTTATGCAAATTGGCTGTAACTTCGTTCTCGCCGTGTGTCAAATCGTCCTATCAAAAAATTACCATGGCACAACCAACGATATATATAAAAGTACCGATCGATTACATGTACTTTTAATGTCCAGATCATGGTGGCGAGTTAATAAGTTCGGCTCGGCTGAACTTAACGGCGTTTTTACTTGTTTGATTTTAAATGACGATTTCTTATGGATTGGATGTAAACGAAAAAATTGTTTTGTAAAAAAATATGTGCATTTTTTTTCTTTGTAGGCTTGTAGCGTAAATTTACATAAATTCCTCGCTGCAGCCATAAAATGAAAAACAAAATATAATTTTTGTCGTTGCTTTTTGTGATTTAATAAATGACATTATCGATATGACTATCCAAATGACGATTAATCATTAAACACGTTGGGTATAAATGCTGCAATGGTTTAGCTAATAAATATATTGGCAATTTTTTTCTTTTTGTCACACTAAAACAGAATGTACATTAGAACTTTTTTAAAACCCACTGAATTTTCTAAATCCAGAACAATGTAAATGCCCTCTAAAGTAATTTCATGATAAAGTAGGCGACCTTACATCGAGTTCAGCACTACATTAATTTAAAAAAAATGTTCAGCTGAGGAACTCGATCTAAGAACTCATAATTTCGTGTAATTTGTTTCATGAAATCACTTTAGTGTGGCATTCGACTTTACAAGGCATATAAACGGTTCATATTTTGTATATTAATCGGCACTTACAAGGTAATCCTTTGCCAACATACGAATACAATTTTTTCATAAATTTGACTTTGACAACATTCTGCTTTCAAAATGTAAATGGAAATATTCTTCTTCGAAATGTACGCACAACATGTGCTCAGTGGCAAGAAGTATTTTTGTTACAAATTTTGAATTTCATGATCATTATATAATAATAATATACATATGTATATATGTAATAAGCATAAGTATTTGTAATTTTAAAATGGTTTATCCAAGAAAAAGTACGCGGAACTGTTAGACAATATTATGTTTCAAATATATTAAAAATATGCCACTGGTCGTGCACAAAAGTTTATGGTAATATTTTTTAATTTATTTGAAAATGATAGATGATTTCCAAATTTAAAAAGCGCTGCCAATACCGATATCTTTAATGAAACTACCTTCTATAATTATGCCATGGTTTTAACCTACATTATGGGGATTTATTTGGCATATAACAATTTAAACCCACTTGGTTACGGAATCCGGTACAATGTAAACGTACTATTAAATTTTTTGGACTGGTGGTAAATATACAAATTGTTTTATAATAAGTAATGTTAATTTATATATCTTCTTTGCAAATATAAGAAATAAATTTACATAATTTTTATCGTTGCGTTTTGTGATTTTGTAAATATTCTTTTCGATAGAGGGGGTGATTTATCCTCACTAGAAAACTTGAACAATTCCAACAAGATAAATCGATACAGTGCTTCATATTATGAAGCTTTAATGTGTAAATGATTACAGGTTATTAGTCGAAAGTAGTCACAATCGTAAATGGCTACCGGTTAATAAAATCAATTGACCTGCATCAACAATCATTTTGAATTCAAGCAGCAACGATACAATTCAAGCATCAACGGCGTACCTTTCTATTTTGTGCTATTAGCATTTTTTTTCTTTTTACAAGGTAAGTAAACGTTTTATATTTTATATTATATTTTGTATTGAAAATGTTGACGACATTTTGACGGCTGGTGGTAAACAAACAAATTGTTTTGTAAAAATTATGTCAATTTATAACTTTGCATATGTATATATATATTTGCAAAGTTACAAGCCTACAAAGAGGAGACATACATTTAAAGCAGCCATAAAATAAAAAAATACACAATTTTTGTCGTTGCTTTTTGTGATTTAATCAATTTTCTTTTTGATAGGACGAGATTTATCCTCACTAGAAAACCTGACAAATTCTAACAAGATTAGAAAGATTACATGTCTGGCACATCCATAAAATTGGATTTTTAACTTCGCAGACAAATTAGCGGACCTTTGAAAATTTTTCTTTGAATTTAATCAAGTCAAGCATCAACTATCGGCGTACCATTGGTATTTTGTTCTTTATACAAGGTGAGTAAACTATTTTATATTATTGGCCTCTTCCCGTACTGCAAGAATGTACTATGTTTTACTATTTTTGATGTCATAAAGGAAAAATTCTTATCGTAGTAAAACATTTTACATTCTTGCAGGTTCTGGAACAGACATATATATATTATATTTGTATAACTTTGTAAATTTGTCATTCTGTTTGCAACACCTTCAAATATTCACCAAAGACCCCATAAGGTATATATTCCGTCTGTTAAAATCACGATATCGCTCGCAAGATTAAAGAAAGAACATATATACTACTCCTGGGATGTTTGGTATTGAAAAAGGTTTTTTTGGGTCCACGATTTGGTAAAGCTGCATATAGCGGTAGCCCCAAATTTTCGGTATTTTTGGAAGTTTGTTCAACCGAATTTGTTTTTGGTTTCTTGTTGGGCCGCAATTATCACTATCAAAAATTATCATAATGGTTCACTCTTTAGACGCCTACGTTGAAAAAACATTAAAAAAAAACACGTATATGATGAAAAAATAAATTAATAAATCCACGCCTAAGTTGAAAAAATATAGACCAAAATATTCTCTTCTTACATGACCTCAAGGCCCATATAACAGATCATGTAAGAAGCGAATATTTTCTTCCATTTTGATTGAAATACCCCCGTAATGTAAAATTCGTTGTTTACGCTTTCAAACGATTAATTTAAAATAGAACGCATTTTGACAGCACTGATGAAATCATCTGGTCTTACTGTTTGACCTTATAAATGGGCCTTACATGACCTGTTAAATGGGCTATGTGTCTGACAAACCAAGAGAGTAATCCCCCGCTCTATTCAATTTCAAAGAGATCACACAATTGATAGTAACAGCCTGTGTTTACATAAAGTTGTAGATAAAATATCTGTGTGTAAAAGAATTCTTAAACAAACAAAAACACATTTAATATTTCTATTAAATTACAAAAATAACTTGAATTGCATCCGGATAATATTAAAGCATTTGAAAATCTTTAAGTGTAAACAAAGAAACCCAGCGAAGAAGAAATGCATAAATTTGATGAAAATGCACCACTCAAAATCAGCAGCAGTGGTGGATGTGCTGGTGCCAATAAATCCAATTCAGCAAATGGAAAACCAAATCCTAACCATCCAACATATTGAACTGTACCGAAAATTTTCCATGAACCCTAAGGCAAAACCTACGCAAAAACGTCACAAGAACTGCTGGATAATGAGGAATTGAATACGTTGTGGTCGATATTGGAAAAATATTGTGCACAAGTGACACCAATGGGTCAGCAATTGATTAGTTACAACGACTACTTGAAAGTTGTGCAAGCTGCCACTGCCAATGTCGCCTGTTTGCCAAAGTGCAATGCCATTCCGGTTACCCCCTATTCAGTTCAGAGTTTCTAAGTTTGTACGGTGGTATAGTCTTTTGATGAATGTCGTACCTTTGATGGTGAATACCTTCCTAGATTTCGTTCTGTGTTTGCATAATCGTCATGAACTACAATCGTTACATTATTTGTTTCGCATATTAGATGTCCAGCACAAGGGCTATTTGACTGTCCAAACATTACATTATTTCTTTAGTGGTATTCTTGAACAAATTCGGGCATGTAATGCTGTGGCGGTCAATTTTGAAGATTTAAAATATGAAATATTTGATATGGCAAATCAAAGGATCCGTATAAAATTACGCTGCAAGATTTACTGAATTGGTAAGTGAGAGATGGAACTTTGACAATGATATAGTTATACCCTACACAACTATGTTGTATAATAGCTTTGTGCGGCCCCAAAAGTTTGTAACGCCGCGAAATATTGGTCCTAGGCCCACCTTTTGGCATATCGATCGTCATATCTCGGCTAGCTGAGTCGATCTAGACATGTGTGTCCGTCCGTCCGTCTGTCTATTATAATTTGTAAACACGATACAGACCACAGTTATGGACCAATCATCACGAAATTTAATATGTATTTCCGGTATTGGCTAAAGAAGACCCCTACTGTTTTTGGTAATGATCGGTTAATGTTTTGGGGTTCAAATGGACCAAAAAGTTTATTTTTGTCTGTTTTTCTGGTCGCTCCAGAGGCCACAATTATGACCCAAACATAACGGAATTTTACTCGGAGAAGGGGATCTGGTCAACGAATAAGTATAGCTGAATTCATGATGATCGGTCAATATTTAGCGGGTCCAATTGACCTCGACTTATGTGTGAAAAATAACATTTGCATTCTATGGCGTATATATTTACTCCAAAAATATTTTTTCAGCGACTATCTAATGCCTACAATTTGTTAATACTATCTGTTTAATCGACTTCCAGAGGCCTAGAATTGTTTAAGAATATTTTTTATAGATTACCGGAGGCATATAATTGTTAAATAATATTTTTCCGCTACTACCAGATACTTTCAATTTTTTAAAAATATTTTTTTATGGACTACAACATTCTAAGAATGTTTTTTTTAGTTCCTTCCAGATATCTACAAATTTGTAAGAATATTTCTCATCGACTACTAGGAGCCTATTAAATTTTTAGGAATATTTTATCAGAGACTACCAGAGACGTCAGTTTTTATACCCTCAGCCTTAAGGCTTATGAGGGTATATACACTTTATTACGACAAAAATGTGCCTCATTGAAATATTGGTTTAAGACCCCATGTTCCTTTGGACCAAATCCGTTTCAGACAATTTGGAGTCGATTTACAAATGCCCGTCCGTCTGTGTGCCTGTCCGGCTGGCTGGTGCGCACGATAACTCTCGAAGGCAGTAACCACTTTCATCCAAACTTTGCACATCGTAATATTTCTTCCAAACTTGAATCAAGTTCAAAGATGGGGAATATCGGTCCACTCCTGGTACCTCCCACACACAAAAAGTCACAATTTTGCTGAATATGAATTTTATAACATCATGCGAAAGGGTTATCCGATTTGAACCAAACTTTGCACAAGCTAATATTTTAACCAAACTAGTATAATGTGGGAAGATGGGACATATCGGCCCACTTTTCCAGTACCTTCCCCACAAAGGGTCAATATTTTGGAAACTTATAAATCTTATATGAAGCGAACGGAATATCCAAATGCGTCCAAATTTTGTACTTCGCAATTTTTTTAACAATTTTGAAAATTTGTTAATCGAATATCAAGCCTTAACCCGAGATTTAGTGCAATTATTGGGTATATATGTCAGTCATATCTGGTAAGTTTGAAAAATTATAAATTTAAACAAAAAATACTTTTGTATGTTACAAACATATGCACAAAGACATAATACTCTGTACCACAGTGTGGTGTAGGGTATAAAAATATTTTGTCATCATCTACATGCTTCCTGCAATATGTTAATATATTTTTTCAATGTATACCAGATATCTACAATTTGTTTAAGAAATTTTGATCATTGACTACCGGAATCAAGAAAATTTGTCATCGACTTCTTGACAGAACCTTTCGTCCAATATAGGTTCACAAGATTTTTTAAATAGCTAAAATCTATTCATACCATTAAAATTTGGATTTTTTAAGATTTCTAATGGAGGAGGGTACAATCAGTTATACCAGGCCTGCCTCATTGACATTTTTACACCCTACACCACACTGTGGTACAGGCTATTATGTCTTTGTGCATTTGTATGTAACATGCAAAAATATACGAGATAGACCCATAGTTACTTTTGAGGATATACGTAGAATCACTTTCTAAGTCGATTTATGCATGTCCGTACGTCCGTCCGTATGTCCGTCTGTCCATGTATTATTGTTAACAAAATGCAGGTCGCATTTATGATCCGAATGAGATGAAATTTGGCACAGTTTATTTATTTGGCCCAAGGACGAACCCTATTGAAATTGGTGAAAATCGGTTTAGATTTAGATATAGCTCCCATATATATTTTCGTCCGATTTTACGATAGTGTACCAAGGACCCAATGTTCGTCAGATTGCCTCGTAATTTTGCACAGAGTATCGAATTTTAATATAGAATAACGTGAAATAAATTTTGTTTGTGCGATTTTGCAGAACGGATGAAATTGGGCCTAGAATGACCTGTGTTAAGTTTTGTTGGAATCGGTTCAGATTTCGATATACCTCCCATATATATTTTCGACCGATTTCATCTAAATGGTGCACCACAGACCTAATATTTATCCGATTGCGACAACATTTTGCTCCACGTACCAAATTGAGTATATTATAACATATGTTAAGTTTTGCTGAAATCTATTCAGACTTTATCTAAATCTAAATCCATATATTTTCGCCCGATTATACCTAAAAGGTGTACCAATGCCTAAAAACTTTGTCCGATTACGACGACATTTTGCATAACACTAGTTTTAGCCTTGAATGACGTATGTTAAAAGTTGTTGAAATCGGTTCACATTTAGATATAGCTCCCATATATATTTACGGCCGATTTCTCCTAAGTGGTGCACCACAGAGCCAAGGCGTGGAATTTTTTTTAATTTATTCATTATTATTTCATTATTTATTCAAATAATATACAATAAATATACGCCTTCAGTTTGCCATTGAAAATCAGGACCCAGTCGTAATCAGGACCCCATGTGATAAAAATTTAAAAACCATCCTCGAGGGGCCTAAACTAGACTAAGGCCATTTTCTTCAATAAATCCACGCCTCAGTCGATCCTTGAAAAATATTCTTCAATAAATCCACGCCTTGTTTTGTATCAGAAATTTATTTTCATTTTCCAGACAAAAAAAAAATTAATAAATAACGCAGGATTTATTTGTTTTACATATATGTATAAATATATACATACATAAATAGGGCGGCCCCTAAACCAAAAAATTACATGTGTTGTGATATCGTTTTAACGGATGGAATTCTTGGTGTGGGCTTCATCTATTGTAGAATAAAATTCAGGAATAAAAAAATCACAACGGCAGCACAATGCCCATTCATATAAAATTTACTTCTATTCCCTACTGGGAATGTTTGAAGCAACAAATCCCATTTCATTGAACTATTGCCGATTACCAGCATTTTGGTAAGATTTGCACATATCGCTGGAAATGTCCTAATCAGAGGAATGATGGTGAAGCTACAGAATTACGAATTTTTAAGATTTTCATTCATGTTTTTAAATTTTATTGTGTAAATGCCAAAAATATATGTTTTTAAAATAAATAAAATTTTTGATATTTTGTGTATTTTGTTTGCATTTTACGACATATCAAACTGACACTAGCTTTGCATACAAAAACAATTTTCTATGTGTTTGTTTTTGTAATATTTTGTCTGGAAAAGTATTTTCTCCCTTACTCTCTCAAATGAAGTTACTGAGTAAATATTACTGGAAAAGTACCCAGACATACCTATTCTATACGAACTTATTCGAGTGCCTTACGACCAAACTCATTGGATTTGAAATATGTGTCATTTAATTTTGCTTTGAATCGAAATACATTTTTCTGCAATACTATTTTCAAGTACCAACTGAAGGCGTAGATTTTTTAAAGAATAATTTCAAGAGCTAACTGAAGGCGTGGATTTATTAACTAATATGTTCCAAGGACCAACTAAGGCTTGTACTTTTTATGAATATTTACCGAGGACCAACTAAGGCTTGTATTCTTTTATGAATATTTTCCAGGGACAAACTGAGGCGTGTATTTTTTAAAGAATAATTTCAAGGACTAGCAGAAGGCGTGGATATATTAACGAATAAGTTTCAAGAACCAACACCAAAACAAGCATCAACAGAAGGCGTGGATATATTAACGAATATGTTTCAAGAACCAACATCAAAAGAAGACGTGGATTTATTAAAGAATATTTTTCAAGTACAAGCTGAAGGCTTGGATTTGTTCAAAACTGCTTTTCAAGAACCAACACGAAGCGTGAATTTTTTTTTTAAATATTTTTAAAAACCCGAAATACAAGGCCCACGCCTTCTTTAAAAAAATATTTTCAAGCATCGACAGAAGTCGTGCATTTTTCAAAAAATATGTTTTCAAGCATAATGAGGTCGCGGACTTTTTTTAAATATTTATTCAAGCATCAACAGAAACCGAACATTTTTAAAGAATAGTTTTCAAGGACAAACTGAAAGCGTATCTTTTTTTAACGAATATTTTTCAAGGATCAACTGAGGCGAGTATTTTTTAAAAATATTTTTCAAGCATTAACGTAAATTTTTTATGAATTTTTTAAAAATTATTATTTAATGCTTGTATTTTTTAATGATTTCAAGATTTAAAAATATTTGTAAGAATCCTTCGACAAATATTGTGTAATAAATCCTTGCCTTCAGTTGGTCCTTGAAAAATATTCTTATATAAATCCACGCCTCAGTTGGCCCTTGAAAAATATTCTTATATAAATCCTCGTCTTCAGTTAGTCCCTGAAAATAATTTTTAATAAATCCACGCCCTTGAAAATATTATTTAATAAATCCACGTCCTTGAAAATATTATTTAATAAATCTACGCCCTTGAAAATATTATTTAATAAATCCACGTCTTTGAAAATATTCTTCAATAAATCCACGTCCTTGAAAACATTTTTTTAAAAAAATCAACGGCTTCTGTTGATGTTTGCTTCTTAACTTTTTAAAAAAGTTCACGCCTTCTGTTGATGCTTGATTTGTATACCCTACACCACACTGTGGTACAGGGTATTATGTCTTTGTGCATTTGTAAGTAACATGCACAAATAGACGAGATAGACCCATAGGTGCTTTTACAGATTTACTTAGAATCACGTTTTAAGTCGATTTATGCATGTCCGTCCGTCTGTCCATGTATTATTGTGAACTGATGCAGGTCGCATTTATTGTCCGAATGAGTTGAAATTTGGCGAGCCTGCTTATTTGGCCCAAGGACGAACCCTATTGAAATTGATAGTATACCAAAGATCCAATGTTTTTCCGATTGCGACGCAATTTTTCACAGCGAATCAAATTTTAATCTAGAATGACGTGAATTATTTTCTTTTGAAATCGGTTCAGATTTAGATATAGCTCCCATATATATTTTCGGACGATTTTATCTAAACGGTGCACCACATACCCAATATTTAACATATGTTAAGTTTTGTTGAAATCGGTTCAGATTTAGATATAGCTCCCATATATATTTTCGCCCGATTTAACAAAAAAGGTGTACCAATGTCCAAAAAATTTGTCGGATTACTAAATTTTGCACAACGTACCAACATAACCCTATTATAACATGTATGAAGTTTTGTTGAAATCGGTTCAGATTTAGATATAGCTCCCATATATATTTTTGGCCGATTTTAACTAAATGGTGCACCACATACCCAATATTTATCCGATGGCCACGAAATTTTGCACAACGTACCAGCTTAACCCTATTATAGCATATGTTAAGTTTTGTTGAAATCGGTTCAGATTTAGATATAGCTCCCATATATATTTTCGCCCGATTTATCCAAAAAGGTGTACCAATGTCCAAAAAATTTGTCGGATTACTACGAAATTTTGCACAACGTACCAACATAACCCTATTATAACATGTATGAAGTTTTGTTGAAATCGGTTCAGATTTAGATATAGCTCCCATATATATTTTCGGCCGATCCGATCCAATATTGATCCAATATTTATCCGATGGCCACGAAATTTTGCACAACGTACCAGCTTAACCCTATTTTAACATATGTTAAGTTTTGTTGAAATCGGTTCAGATTTAGATATAGCTCCCATATATATTTTCGCCCGATTTAACCAAAAAGGTGTACCAATGTCCAAAAAATTTGTCCGATTACTACGAAATTTTGCACAACGTACCAACATAACCCTATTATAACATGTACGAAGTGTTGTTGAAATCGGTTCAGATTTAGATATAGCTCCCATATATATTTTCGGCCGATTTTAACTAAATGGTGCACCACATACCCAATATTTATCGGATGGTCCAAAATATCCAAAAAATTTGTCCGATTGCGAGGAAATTTTGTATAACCCACTAGATTGAGCCTTGAATAACGTATGTTAAAAGTTGTTAAAATCGGTTCAAATTTGGATATAGCTCCCATATATATTTTCGCCCGATTTCATCTAAATGGTGCACCACAGACCCAATATTTATCCAATTGCGACAAAATTTTGCTCAACGTACCAAATTGAGTATATTTTAACATATGTTAAGTTTTGTTGACATCGGTTCAGATTTAGATATAGCTCTCATATCTATTTTCGGCCGATTTCATCTATATAGTGCACGAAAACCCAATGTGTGTCAGATTGCAACGACATTTTGCACAGGCTACTGAATTTAGTCCAAATTGCATTAAGTTTAGTTTGTTTTTAGTTTATGTTTTTATTTGAGTTTATGTTGTTCCAATAGCACCTCCTGCATATACACAGAGTGGTGTAGGGTATCATATAGTCAGCCCCGTCCGACTTTCGTCCTTTCCTTACTGGTTTTATTTAAAAAAAGATTTTTTTAAATATTTTTTGATACGTATATTTTTTTAAGAAGATTTTTCAAGGAATACGTAAAAATATTTGTGAAAAAATATTTTTCAAGCATCAACGTAGATTTTTTAAGAATTTTTTAAAAACTATTTTTTGATGCTACAATTTTTTAAAGATTTCAAGAATTAAAAATATTTATAAGAATCCTTCGACAAATGTTGTGTAATAAATCCTCGCCTTCAGTTGGCCTTGAAAAATATTCTTATATAAACCCTCGCCTTCAGTTAGTCCTTGAAAATAATTGTTAATAAATCCACGTCCTTGAAAATAGTTTTTAATAAATCCACGCCCTTGAAAACCATTTTTAATAAATCCACGTCCTTGAAAATATTATTTAATAAATCCACGCTCTTGAACATATTATTTAATAAATCCACGTCTTTGAAAATATTTTTGCTTCTTAAATTTTTAAAAAAAGTTCACGCTTGATTTTTTTATTTAAAAAAAAGGATTTTTTCAATATTGTTTGATGCGTATATTTTTTTAAGAAGATTTTTCAAGGAATACGTAAAAATATTTGTGAAAAAATCTTGTAAAAATATTCCTAAAGAAATGCACGACTTTTGTTGATGCTTGAACAAATATTCTCAAAAAAAACATCTATTTTGTTGATGCTTGAACAAATATTCTTAAAAAAAATCCAAGTCAATGGATTTATTAAATATTTTTTAAGGACAAGGAGAAGGCTTGGATTTATTAAAACTACTTTTCAAGAACCAATACAAAGGATGGATTGTTTTAAAAATATATTATAAAATATATAAAACCAACACAAGGCGTAGGTTTTTTTTAAAATAATTTTCAAAAAACAACACAAGACGTGGATTCTTTAAAAAAATTTTCAAGCTTCGACAGAAGGCGAAAATTTTTAAAGAATATGTTTTCAAGCATCAGGAGAAGCCGAAAATCAACCTAAAACATAAATTTTTTGAAAATATTTTAGTTTGGTTCTCACATCAATATTAACAGCATTATTATCGCTTTTCGATTATATTTTAATTTTTTGTTTTTATATAGTATGTTTTCATTAGTGTCATATAATTATGGCGAGTTTTGTGTCGTAGACACAAAAAAAACCAAACCATTTGACGGGGACGGATATATTTTTAAATACAAAGGCGGATCCTATCTGGGAACGATAATAGCAAAAAGCGGTAAATTAATGTAAGAGGTGTATTTAAAGTTATATTGACAGTTTCATTTCCTAGACAACAAGGAAGAACTTTCTAATTTAAAGAATATAAAAGAAGACGAAGCCAAAAGGCAAGAAACACAGCCAAAACAAAAGAATACTTATTCATCACAAGCGATGGAAACTGTAAGGGATTCTATACAAAATATGTCATCGTCCATAAATAATGAAATGTTACAAAGGTAAGTTAGTATATATATTTTTACAAGAACCTGCACAATTTTTCAGTTAAAATAAATTATATTCGATTTAGTTATAAATTTGCACGAATTGGTATAGATATGCAATAAGTTTAGATCAAATTGGTTCATATATAGATTCCAAATATGTGTAGTTCTTCTCTTGTTTAATACATATAAGAGATATTTGAAAAGAAAAAGAAGTAGTTTTTATTTACCTTCTTATTCTAAATAAAATAATCAAACAAGAACCACCTGATTATAAAACCTTACTTGGAATATGTTATATAACCCATATCTATGCCTACCCATGATGTAACTGTTGTTGCGTAGTTTTATTAACATTTTCATTGTTTACAGCCTAAAAACTTTTAGCTTGGTTGCTTACGACACTGATGATTATTTTGTTATTAACTCAAAAACTATAACACAACTCCAAGGCAGTGATTGTGTTGTGAAATATAGAGGTGGTTTTTATTCTGCAAAACTAATTGCATCTTATGGTGAGTTCGTCAATCAATATATGGATTTTGTATATTACTTTTAAAAAATAAGACATATACACTATTGAACAAAAACATATATTGCTTCCCAAACAGTTATTTAGCGTAGACATATTCGACACAATGATGATAATTTTAATTCACAACTAATCATTTTACTATATTTGGAAGTACCATGACGTTATCGTTTTTGAATTTCATTTACACTACACATGTTTTACATACACATATGATTACTTCAAAAATATAAATACAAGATGTCTGAGATTGTCATTAATATACAGAAAAATGATAAAACATTTATAAATTTATATATAATTTTCCACATTTCATAATATAAATTTGTTATGAAGAAAACACTACTTTGAAAATAATTTTTTAATTGCATACTAGCGCATAACCCTTTTGTTGTTATTGACGATCTTAAACATTTAAAGTATTTGAATATCTGATGTAAACAAATTATATACGAGCAAAAATAAAAAAAAGTTTTTCTATAGATGACAAAAAGAAACTTCTGGAATTAAAGCGAATGAAAAGAAGACAAAGTCACTCAAAACATGTAGACCAAAAGCCTACATATGAAATAAATAAATGTATACCAAATTCTACAACAAATGTCCAGAAGAGTTCAGAACCAGAAATTATAAATGACAATTCAATGGAACTACAAAATAAAAACCATCACGAAACATCGGGAGAAGATTCAAATTATTCATCATATGTAAGAAATCACGAAATAATATATAATTCTGGTAGTGAATGTTCTTTAAATGCTTTTGACGTAAGTTTGGCAAAAAAACAAGGGCATCTTAAGAACTCTACAGTCTTACAAAAAAGCACGATGAACTCGAAAGATTATAATCCCTCTAAAAGTAACAAAAATGACACACTACTAGACGAATCGGAGCCTGTTATAACGAAAGTGACGGGTATTGAAATTCCTTCATCTGAAAATCATTCCAAACAAAGTGATCATATATTGTCGGACACGTCAGAGTCAACGTGGGATGAAACTTCATCAAGTGGCGAATCTGTTTCTTTTAAAAATGCAGTGCTTAAAACCCAACGACTAAAAAATTCTACTGCTATTAAATCATCAGGTAATAGAAGTACGTTGGCTACAGAAAGTTTTGATTCCTCTATGCCATATAATGACAAATCTGTGTCAGAATACCTACCGGATTCATCTTTACAAAATACAACAGTAAATACAAGTTCCATTGTAGAAGTTAACACCGCTCCAATTCAGATAGATTCGTTAAGAGTTCCGTTTTCAAAATCAAAACTAAAAAGACATTTTTGCATGTATTGCAAAACATTGCAGTGCAAAATTGCTCGACATTTATTCTTAAAACATAAAAACGAAAATCTAGTTAAACAAGCAATGGCACTTCCCAAATTGAGCAAAGAACGTTTAAAATTAATTGAAGACATTCGAAAACAAGGAGATTTCATACACAATACATGCAGTGATCAGAACACTGGTATTTTAATTGTATCTAGACGACAACAACAAAAAACAAACCGAAAAGCCGACGACTATATATGCTGTCCAAAATGTAAAGGATTTTATACAAAATTTGCATCACGACAACACAGTAGGAAATGTGTTCAAAAACACAACTCCAGATCAAATTTTATTGAAGGGCGAAAATTAACTCAATATATACACCATGTTGCGAGTCCTGCAATGAAAACAACGATATTTCCTGTTCTCCGAAATGATAACATAACCAAAGCAATACGTTTCGACGAATTAATTATCCGATATGGTAACAGATTATCCGAAAAACTTTCTCAAAGTCACCACCATGATCAAATCCGAGCAAACATGCGCCTTTTGGGTAGATTTAAAATAGAATTTATGAAAATTGTGCCGGAGATATCCGAATTGAAAGATATATTCAAACCATATTTGTTCGATAATGCTATTGAGGCACTTCGAAAAACAGCAAAGTGGACCTTTGATAAAGGATTCGCAACGCCAGCTGTTGCCACATCCTTGTCATCTTTAATAAAAAAATGCGCACGGATACAACGAAATGAATTTATTAAATGTCAAAATGAAGATTCTAAATGTAACTTAGACAATTTTATTTCTCTTTGGGTAGAGGAAACACCCGTACAAATCAACAAAAAAGCTCTGGAAGATCTCGAAAATCGGAAAAGGACAAAAACTAATGACTTGCCAAGTAAAAACGACATCAAAATTTTGTATGATTATTTAAGAACTATAATGCTTGATTCCTTCGCCGAATTATGCTTAAACTACAATTTCATTTCCTGGAAAAAACTTTTGGAATCTACATTAATATTTATCCAAGTATTCAATCGACGAAGAGCTGGGGAAATTGAAAGGTTAACAATTGAAAACTTTAATAAAAAGGAACAAATAACTGATTGTGTAGAAGCTGGCATGTTGGAAAATATCTCTAAACAATCCATTAATTTCGCCAAACAATTCGTTCGAATCACGTTACGGGGAAAGTTAGGAAGAACCGTGAGCGTTTTGCTCGACCCACTGTGTATTAAGTCCATTAACATTATTCTTAAATTCAGAGAAAAGGCTGGCATTTCCAAGACAAATCCATATATATTTAGTGCGCCTGGTAAGTCCAGCTTAGCAAAAAGTTACTGCAGAGCATGTCCTTTGCTGAGAAAATTTGCATCAGAGTGTGGAGCATTGATTCCCGATACACTTAGAGGCACAAAACTGCGAAAACACATAGCAACATATACCTCATTGCTGAACGTGCAAGAATCGACGGTTGATAGACTTGCTAACTTTTTAGGCCACCACAAAGACATCCACAAAAGCATATATAGGGTACCGGTGCCAGTAGCCGAAATTACAAGCGTGTCAAAAATTTTATTATCGGCTGCTGGGTGCAATTTGCAAAATAGTATCGAAACTAGTAATTCTAATAGAAATATAGTTTCTGATAACGAAGGGAGTATGCAATATGAAGGTTTGGAGGAAAACTCTGAAGATTCAGAAACAGATATGGTAAAACCGAAGAGACGTAGTAGTAAGTAAAAATTGTAGAAACTATAATTCTTAATATTTTTGATTACTTAGCTGTATTTTAACCAACTTAGTACTACACAAATAACAATATTTTCAATATTTTAGCATCCCCTTTCGGACGGACAATACGCAAGAGGTGGAGCAGTGCTGAAATTGATTCCGTTAAAGAAACATTTGGAGATATTTTGGCCTTGGAGAAGTTGCCTTCCATAAAGCAATGTGCAGCAGCTATAGAAAAAAATATCTCCCTATGTAAAAGAACACCGGCTCAATTAAAAACATGGATAGACAACCAGCGAAAAAAAGTTGCCGTTCGAGGAAATTAAACAATTTGGTAACAAGTTTTAGTATTAATTTATAATCTGTTTCTAACAGCTTGTTTTTCAGATTTCCCCACTTTCAACACACAGTCACCGCCACAACATTCCACGGACCCAGTGTTTTCTTACTTTTTTTAGTGATATAAGCTTTTCATGCATATGAAATACTCTTGCCCATGTATGGGATATGTTCACACACACGCACACACAATTACAATAATTTTATTTCAAAATATTTTTATCATGTTTTATTAATTCTATGAATGCTGTAAAATTTTTATTGACGATTAATTTAAATTTAAAGCCTATTCTTTAATAAGTATTGAAAACGTGTTTTTTTATGAATAAAAATATTCATTATTAATTTATTTTGGCTTATGTTATTATTATAGTACTTATATATATTTTTTTATAAAATACATCTTTAGCCGTTTTCGTGTACTCATTTCATTTAATTTGTCATTTCTTAATTCACTTCATGGTAATATAAAACCGACCGAAAACTTATAATAACTAAATACAGTACCCAAAAAATACTTACTTATTTACAATAACTTAAAGAAATTAATACTTATGAGCACTAAATGGTACTATATTTGGTACAATTTGATTTTTAGGTGAACTAATAGAGCTAGAATCATTAAATTTGGTGTCAGGATCACTGTTGAGGTGTAAGCTTGAGATATGTAAAAGATTTAGAAATTTGTATTAATGTGTACTAAATTTGGTACAATTTGAATTATGAGTGAACCGATAGAGTTGAAATTCTGAAACTTGAAGTTGGGATCACTGTGGGGTTTGGTATGTAAGAAGTTTTAGAATTTTGTACTAAGTGTACCAAATTTGGTACAATTTAAATTGAGAGTGAAGCGATAGAGTTGGAATGTTGAAATTTTGAGGTGTAGGATTGGGGTATGTAGGAAGGTTTGGAAATTGGTACTACTATGTACTAAATTTAGTACAATTTGATTTGTGGGTGAACAGATAGAGTTGGAATCCTGAAATTTTGATTTAGGAACACTGTGGAGGTGTAGTATTGGGGTATGTAGGAAGGTTTAGAAGTTGGTACTACTGTGTTCTAAATTTGGTACAATTTGAATTGTGGGTGAACATATAGATTTGGAATCAGAAACCTGGATTTTGTTTCACTGTGGAGGTGTAGGATTGGGGTATGTAGAAAGTTTTGGAAATTGGTACTACTGTGTACTAAATTTGGTACAATTTGAATTGTGGGTGAACCGATATAGCTGGAATCCTGAAACTTGGATTTAAGATCACTGTGGAGTGTAGGATTGGAGTATGTAGGAAGTTTTGGAAATTGGTACTACTGTGTTCTACATTTTGTACAATTTGAATGGTGGGTGAACAGAACAGAGTTGGAATCCTGAAATTTTGATTTAGGAACACCGTGGGGGTTTAGGATTGGGGTATGTAGGAAGGTTTGGAAATTGGTACTACTGTGTACTAAATTTGGTACAATTTGAATTGTGGGTGAACCTATAGAGTTGGAATCAGAAACATGGATTTTGGGTCACTGTGGAGGTGTAGGATTGGGGTATGTAGGAAATTTTGGAAATTGGTACTATTGTGTAGTAAATTTGGTACAATTTGAATTGTGGGTGAACCAATAGATTTGAAATTCTCAAATTTGGAATCATTGTGGGGGTGTAGGATCGGGGTATGCAGGAAGTTTTGTTGGATGGTTGCGGAGTACTAAATGGTACTCAAATTCATTTTATGGTAGATATTAATGTGCAGATTTATTTGTTTTTCTGACATATGCAGTATTTTGTGAAAATAACATAATATGTTAATATATGTTTAAATTATTCCCACATTCGCTAACGAAGTAACAGGTATATGCTATATATGATATATGTAATGAATTCGAAAATTCGTACTAGAATGGTACAAAAAGTACTAAATAAGATAACATTTGTATTTGGCGAACCGGTAAAGGTAGAACTCTTAAATTTTAAATGAGGGTCACTGATGGAGTGTAAAATATATATAGCAAAGAGTTTTTTGGACATTCGAACTATAAGTATGCGAAAAGTTCTAAATTTGGTACAATTTCGTAGCATGTGAATGAATTGAGCTAAAAATTTGAAATGCGAATTAGGGTTGAGATGTAGGGTCTATTTAAAGAGATTGTTTTTGAAAGAGTGACTCATGGGTACGAAAAGTAATATATTTGGTACAAATTTTTTTCGGAGGAACAAATCGAGCTGGAATCCTGAAATTTGAAATTAACATTACCGTCGGATTGAGATTTGTACGTAATTTTGGAATTGTTTACTTATGTGTACGAAAAGTACTAAATCGGACTATAATTGGTACAATTTAGATTTGGGTGAACCGATAAAGCGGGAACAATGAAAATTGGAGTCAGGATCATTGCAGAGGTGTAGGATTAGGTTCAGGATTCGGTTTAAGAAATTAATACTTTTGGCTACTAAGGAGGAGGTGTAAGATTGAGATATGTAGGAAATTTTAGAAATTTGTACTAATGTGTACTTAATTTGGTACAATTTAAATTGTGGGTGAACCGATAGAGGGAATCCTGAAACTTGGATTCAGGATCACTGTGGGTGTGTAAGATTAAGATATGTGGGAAGTTTTAGAAATTTGTACTACTGTGCACTAAATGTGGTACAATTGGAATTGTGGGTGAACCGATAGAGTTTGAATCCTGAAACATGGATTAAGGATCACTGTGGCGGTGTTGGTTTGGGTTAAGTAGGATGTTTTGGAAATTCGTACTACTGTGTGCTAAATTTAGTACAATTTGAATTGTGGGTCAACCGATAAAGTTGGAATCCTGAAACTTGTATTAAGGATGACTGTGGGGGTGTAGGATTTGGGCATGTAAGAAGTTTTGCAAATTGGTACAACTATGTACTAAATTTGGTACAATTTGAATCGTGGGTGAACCAATAGAGTTGGAATCCTGAAACTTGGATTTAGTATCACTGTGGGGTGTATGTTTGGGTTAAGTGGGTTGGGTTCGTACTACTGTGTACTAAATTTGATACTGTTTGTATTTGGTTGAACCGATAAGACTGGTATCCTGAAATTGGGGAAATAAGCTTTTCAATGGATTATATGAAGTATATAGTAAGGGAAAGCAATGGAAATGAAATCGATTATATTATTTCTGCTGGGTGGTTGAGGTGGGTACTTATGGAATTTTATATGAATGTGTATTAAATGTCGTTTAAAAACGACAACTTATTGAACTTTGTATACACACGTGGTGTTGTGTGATTATTGTGAACCCCCGATGCAACGAAAACACAATGTAAATAGTGAAAAACCGCGAAAAAGCCTTTCAATTTATAAACGTAAGAAGGGAATATATATTCACTACTTATTTCAATCAACTTAATAAAAATCTGGATACTATAAAGAGACTTTGAAGACCGCGAAAAGAAAATCAAAGTCCCTTCATATATTTCGATTTGCACGAAATTTGGCACCGGGTAGTGAATTAGGTCCAGAATGATATGTGCTAAGTTTCGAGAAAATCGATTCAGATTTTATATAGCTCTCATATATAGTTTTGTCAGATTTTATGTAAAAGGTGCACCAAAGCCCCCCATTCTCGGTGTCATATTTTTTTGTTATTCCGATCTACTCTTGAAGATATAGCCGATTAATTGAGTCAGCATCAAGTGACGGCAATAGTGATTCTTAAACGCATTTCTCGAATCCTAATAATCCAATCGGTTTATTAGTACCCAATTAATAATAATAAAACATTTTATATATTTTTTTGTTGTTGTATAATTAATTTATTTATTGCCATAAACTTAATAATTTTGTGTTTTTATTTTTTTGGGAAGATTTTTTTTGAGGCGGAAATAAAAATTTTGAAGTGACGGAGGATATTTTAGCCATAAGTAAAAAAAAAAATAGATTAAAAACCAGTGAGCCGAGCAGTATAGTCGAACGGGGCCGACCATATGATACCCTACACAACTTCAACGAAAATTTGAATTCCTGTAGTTCTATATTCTGAGCTTGAGCAATATTTCGCAATATTTGCACCCTCTTGGCCGACTAGAGGTAAACAAATATTCAGTACAGCCCTTCTAAGTGCTTGTCCAGATTCCCTTCACCGTGGGTTGTGTTGTGCTATTCGGCCTGTGGCCTACAAATCGACTCGTAAAAACACAAAAAAATAAGTTTTTGGTCCACTTCAGCCCAAAATTATTATCTGATCATCACCGAAAATTAAAGGCGTTGTCCTTGACCATAACTGCAACCTCATGGAGCATTTCAAAGCGATCACCCCTATATTTCCGCCCTCCAGTGTGGTAATGGTTTACTAAATAATATTTGAATACCTAAGCACCTGTTAATAATTAAGTGTAACTCCCGCATCCGAGTACATACGATAATATAATTGGTATAAATTTAAAGGTCAACCACTCTAATCGCAATAGAACACAAATTTTGTCATTTTTCACACAAAAGTCAGGGTCTATTTGACCCGCTAAATATTGACCGATCTTTATCAAAACTGGCATGTTTATTCTTTGCCCCGATCCCATTCTCCGTGTAAAAATTCGCAATGTTTTGTGAAGCGACCAGAAAACCGACAAAAATAAAGTGTTTGGTCCATTTCATCCCCTTAATATCAACTGATCTTTACCAAAAACCATAGGGATCTTCATTGGCCAGAAGAACCCATCCTACATGCAAAATTTCGTGAAGATTGGTCCATAACTGTGGCCTTTATCGTGTTTACAAATTATAATGGACAGACGGACGGACGGCCACACATGTCTAGATCGACTCAGCTAGTCGAGATATGACGATCGGTATACTTAACGGTGGGTCTAGGACCAACACGTCGCGGCGTTACAAACTCTTGGGGCTGCACAAAACTATAATACCCTGACATACCCTGAAAGCATTGTTCTTTTGGTATTCATGGGTCATTATTTGAATACGTATCATAATTTTCAGGCATCCACATCAGCAGGAAATAAACATATTGCAAACAAATTAAAAATTTATAAACAATTTATAAAATTTGGAAAAGTTACTTCAGTTCAACCATTAGAGCCCAATCAGCCTTAATTAAATCATCACGGAAGTAATCCTTGCAAGCATCGAGACCTTCGCCAACTTATCATCAGCTTGAAAATGACGGCCAAACATTTTTGGTGATTCACCGGGTATGGGTTCACGTTTAACCCAAATCTCCAGACCTTTGCGAGGGAATGAGGTGACAATGCCATGTATTTTGTTAAGTATTTTTTGGTGAGAGAACATCAAAAAGTGCATTTTCCATTAAAATGTGTAGCCACAAATTTGACACTAATATTGGAAAATGCGTCTTGTCAAGTCTTTACGATTG